TCGTTTTGATCGCGAAATGGATTAAGCAAAATGTCGTTTGAATAGTTGGTTTTTGCGATTATTTATAACAGTCTTTAGTAAATTTTCATGTTTCACCACTCTCGTCTAATCTTAATAAAGACGTTATGATACGGATCAAGAAATTTTTTGGTACCTTTCGGTTAGTTAGTTTAACATTTAACTTAAACTTAAAGTAAAAAAGATTAAAAGACTAACTTAAAATTTTTTAAGTTAAATTTTTTTTATTTTAGTCTAAAAATAAAGTTAAATTTTATTTAAAGTAGACGATAATAATCTAGAAATTATGCTGCAACATAAATTTTTTTGTGAGTAGAAAATGTTTATTTGTGATTTTTAACAGATAATCCACACAAAAATGACTACTATGATTGTATTTCGAAGGGAGATCCTGCGTCGGTGTGTGGCGCAGCTGTGCGTGCAACAAGGTTGGGATCGTGCAGAGCAGTCTGCTCTCAGGGTCCTGGCTCAAATTTTGGAAGCATATGTCTTCATGCTGGCTGGCAGTGCAAAAGTTTATACTGATCAATGTATTAGTCACAATTTGTCAATAACACTTTACATTCAGAATTCACAATTTACCCTTTTTAACACCTTTTTTTATCAATGTTTTTTGTAAATTTATTATTTTTACTTTGTTAGTTAAAAATAGTTAAAAATGTATTTGTTATTTTGCGTATGTATTGAATATTTCATTAATTGTTCATAGTACAATCATCTTTGCAGTTTCATCTTTTTAAAATTTCATCTTTGCATAGCATAATGTGGAATGTTATCCTAATATATCAATATAAGAACCTTCAATCTAGTATAAATAGAGCCATTACTTTTGCAACTTATTTTTTCTTTAGTTGAACAAACAGAACTGACTTTGAATAATTTGCATTTGGCATTTTTGAAATGCAACATCCAATTTGATCAGCTGAAAGAGTACTTTAAATTGAATGAACCTGTCACACTGCCACATGATGTCCCACATTTTCCAGCTCCCAGGTTTTGTACATGTAAGTAGCTTAATATATATTTCACTGAATGGTTGGTTGAATGGAGAATTTTTAATTAAATGTTTTTTAATTATGTTTTTCCTTCCAGAATAAACATAATTTTATTTTTTTCAGATATTTATTTAAAGTTTCGTAAAATTATTTAAAATTTTTAAAGTGAAGTGATTTTGAATATGAAATCATTTTCCAGCTCATGGGCTTGATGCTGCCAGAAAGTTTAGGTTCAATATTATTTCTCATCATGGGAGTTAATCATTTGTTTCAAAGTTTTAGCAAACCTATCATTATATTAATGGCAATTTTTTTTGACAGTTTGTGTTGTTTTGACATTGTTTTGACATTGACAACAATTTATAGTTATGTTGATAGTAATTTAATATTATCTACAATGCTTATTGATAGGAATTTCTATATTTGATGTCAAAACTATTTGCAACAATCTTTATTCCAAATAATGGGGCTGATGTAATTGTATCTAACATTCACTATCATCATGTAACTGAGA